GTTTGTATGTAGACACCATATGAAACTCATTAGAAAAATAACAAAATGACTACATACAAAATAGTTCGTCTTACAAGACGTTACTGATAACAAAAAATATCTAATTTAAAGAATCGGTTGATGTTAAGTAAATAAACAAAGGCTGCCTATGAAATCTGACCGCCATCGATCAGTAATCAATAACATTTTCTAAAAATTTTAGAATTTTTTCTGGAGAAATCTCTCACCTGTGGATAGAGGTGTGCGGGAGCAAACTTTTTTGGTTCCGATCCCATGATGAAAAAAAATTGCGTTGTAATGTGGGTCATGGAACAGCATGCGTTTGTGGAATTAATTGAAGTCTTTTAGAATTTTCTATGAGTTCTTTCTCATAGAACTGGTGTCTACATACAAACAAGCACAGAAACTAAGAAATTTTTATCCTCCATACAAGACTATTTTCAAAAAAGCCTGATTCCACACACCTCTACCCGTGGACACCTCAGTAAGTACAAACGGCATAAAATCAAGGTACTTTCACAATTTTTCTTTCTTGAGCGTTTTTTTACGATATTTTTACTACTCGTCTACTTACATCTCTGGATGTTTTTCTAATAATAATTGGTCACCTGACCATGGATCCTCTATTTGTGTAATCATTACTAAAAATAAGAATTGTTTATAAATAAAAATTGACTTTTTTTCTTAAATAGATAAATTTACCTGGTAATGGTGTTTTTGCATTTGGTTTAACTCTTATTTTTGGTATAAACGGCATGGTAACATTATTATCAACTTTATCCGTAAATTTTAATTGTGATTTTGGTATATTTTTACTATTTTGTTGAGCTAATGAAAAGACACCTGGATGACTACGACGTTGACGAATTGGTTGAACTTTTTCTTGTAGTACAAAACCTTCCTAGAAAAGGAGAACAGATTAAAAATAGTATAGAGAACAAAAAAAATGTGAAAAATAGACGTACATTTTTGCTCCATGTTGCTGGTACATTTCGAATAGATGGTACAAGTAATTTGACTTCAGGAGCCTTCTTTAAACCAGCTGCTTCATCTAATGATGATGACTAAATAAATAAAATAAACAAAACAGTGAAGTCAAATAAAAGAGTAGTGATTTATGGTTGACATACAATTCTTTCAAATAAAATATCGTTAATATCAATTAATTTATCAATTTTCTCTTCATGATCAACATCTTTCCAACTTGAACCACCCAAATTACGATTTAAATTTTCATTACGTAATAATACATTGACACTAAACGTATACAAACGAGAGTCATATTATAAAATATCTTAACTCTTTCACTGGCACTACATATCGGATGGACCAAATAAAATCAGACACTTTTGTTCGTTATTTTTGAGACATTGTCCAGTAGTTCAAAGAGTTTATTTTAAGCGAAATCGATAGAGAATTGAATTCTCTACAAAATCTACAATTTTAATCTCTAACAACGTTTTTCTCGTTTGAGCACCATTCAAAATATTGAAGAGTGCTGAATCGTCTCCGTTTTTGAGATTTTTATCCCATTGTCTGAGGTCCAATAGTTACGTTTTCTAGGTAGAAAGATAGAAAATTTTCGTGCTGTATCAATCTCTTCTGTGTAAGGCAGTAAGACTAAAACCCTAGATTCAAAACACGTTTTACTGCTTTTATAGCTAAAAACCTAAAGTCTGTAAGAAATAGGTTCTGAAGTTAGATTTTTTTAAATTTATCAGTTTTTTGTACAGAGAAATTTTCCTAGAAAAGTCAACTGTAAAATTTGGAAAAATACGTGAGAAGATGCAGAATTTTCCGATGAATCTTTTGATGTTTTCAAAATTCTTATAGAATCTATTTTAGGATCAAGGTAAATATTTTTCAGTGTATCGTAGTTCGACAACTCAGCAACATTAAATATTTTGAATGATACTCAAACGAGAAAAAACGCTATCAGATATTGAAATAGAAGGTTTTGTAGAAAATTGAATTCTCTAACGATTGAGCTTAGAACAAACTCTTTGAACTACTGGATAGTGCCTCATTATCTGGGACACCTGATACTACTGTTTAGTGTCAAAAGGCGCCCACGCCAATGAAAGATTTAATTTAAAGAGTAATAAAAAAAAATCTTTGTTTTTTTACTTGTGAAGTATTTTCTCAGCTATTTTATCCATTCGACGTCTCAACGGTTGAAAACTCATTAAAAAATCATGATCACTTGCACGAGCCAAATCGTTTGATGTACGAATTAACTTCATTACTTTCGAACAAGCTTCCTAAAAAAAAAGGAGATAAAAAATATGCGAAAAGAATTACTAAGAGACCCTACATACATCTTTGAATACATTTACGCTGGCAAATTCTCCAAGAAATGGTGATGTTGGTGTTTCGGATGACATAATGGAACAAAATAATTAAATTTAAAACTCAAAACACAATCTGAAATGAAAGTGGAAACAAATGGTATATAAAATAAGAATAATAACTTTTCTCAATGGTATGTGTAGCATAACTAGATTACTAAGTTTAATGAGCTAAATGTGAAGTAATAAAAATTATTTGTCTAATAGTGGACAAACACACATTTAGCAAATAATGAGTGTAACTGTTTACTATCGATGACAAGTGTCTTCTGGTAAAAAAAGTGATCACATGAAAACTTAAGAGACTATGTAATGTAGAATATATACTTAGGGTTGAACAAAAGTTCGTAGAACGGTGATTCCGCCCTCCCCTCCTCATACCGTGATCAAAACTTTTGGTCAGTCCTAAGTATATTCTGATAGTGCTGGAAATTCTCTATCGTCCTATATATTTGTCTACTGTCTTGTATTTAGCTATTGCAAAAATAACTTGAGTACAATGAAGATACCCTCAATTGACAAGCGTGTGCCTGCATGATAGTCAAATTATTCTTCAGCACAGAAATGCAAGATAGAACAAAACTATACAGAATGATAGAGAATTTGAAGCCCTATCAGAATGTTTAATTCCTTTTAGAAAGATTTATTTTCATAGTATCTATAATTTGAAAAAGCATAAAAAGTAGCGAATTTTCGTACTTGTCAATTGAGGGTACCTTCATTGTACACTCAAGTTATTTTTGCAATAGATAAATGCAGGACAGTACACAAATATATAGAACGATAGAGAAATTCAAGCGCTATCAGAATATACTTAGAGTTGACCAAAGATTTTGATCACGGTGTGAGGGGAGCGAGCATCATCGTTCTACGAACTTTTGGTCAACCCTAAGTATATACAGAATTATTTGCTGATCGATCGATCATAATGATTACTTTACAGAAATGTTTACCCATAACAAGTTTAAAGCAAAAAAAAAAACAATACCAAATTAACTTTGATTCAAACGAATACAAGCATAAAAATTATGAATGAATTTATTCACGAAAAGTGAGTCATCAAAGGTCGTCGACCTATAAAACAACGACTCGAGTAACGACTGATTCTGGAAGATTATTCCAGTGAGTGACAGTTGAATGAAAGAAGACGAAATTGTTTGTGGAGAAAAATCATTTACAGGAGATGAAATACGAACATATTTAGAATGATGACAACATAGGGAAGAACAATAAGGACAAAGAACATTATAAAAAGAAGAAAGAGGACTAAGACGATGCTAAATTTTAAAAAACTGTACCAGTCGAAAATATTTACGACGAAGTGGCAGATCTGATAGAGACACCAGTAAAGGGGTAGAAGAACGGTAGTCAAAATGACAAGAAACAAGTTTATTTACAGAATCAAGACCAGTAAGAGAAAACGAACTATCATACAAGATGCAACAGTAATCTAGTTTAGGAAGAATAGAAGAAAAATAAATTCAACGTCGAAAATCTCTGATGGAGCTAATCCGACAACACGACTCAGTACATTCAGCTTGTGCCGACAAGCAAGAGCGATGTCACTCGGATGTTCATTCCATTTAAGCTCGTGCGAAACAAGAACACTAAGACAACGAACAGAAGACACAACAGAAAGAGAGACATTATTGAGATACAGCTGATTGTAAATACAGGGAAAAAGATCAAAAGAAAAAGGAAGCCAAGAAGATTTGAACACATTAAGAGACATAGAATTAGTAGAAAATCAATTAGCAACACAATTTATATAGTTTTGAACATGAGAAAAATCAAAAGGATTAGAAAAGAAGGTTACAATTAAATAAACAACATCGACAAAAAGACAGATTTCACAATTATGTAGAAGAGAAAGAGGCAGATCATTAATAAAAACAAGAAATAAAAGTGGCCCAAGTACACTGCCTTGAGGAACGCCAGAAGAAATTCATTTCATTCGAACGAGACGAAAGAAGCAGATACTGATCTCTACATCTCTTACAATAAAGTACAGCCATATTTCTAGTCAATCTATACCTGTGCTGGTTTTTCTTCTTTTCATTTTTCTTTACTTTGTTTACTTGATCAGTCTCTCTGTCCATTACTCTAATTTTCTTTTACCAAATTGACTTTGCTATTTTATTGCCTCAAGTCATTGTTATTACAGGTCGGGAACCCTTGATGAAATAATATTACTAAAAAGAAAACGTTAAACTATCATCAAATACAGACAGTTTCAGTGTTATTACTGAATTCAAAACTACGGACGAAAAGCCTACGTCTTTGATACACATACTCTGAGTACTTTTCACAGTCACTTATGTGTCGCTGAGATATTTATGGTAACACTTTTATAATTTGAATGTAAACTGTCATTTTTACAGTCGGAAATGATGTTTTTTTAGGTAAACAAATCAAAAAGCTTCAATGAACCGCTCACAAGGTTAGCTGACCAGAGAAAAATCTAGTTAACCTTACAGTATCAGATGAGAAATTGTTTGAGGGTGGGTATTTTTCTCAGAACACAACAATTATTACTGCGCAGTACGGCCAGATAACTCTGCTACCGTAGTAAAATTTCGTGACGAAAGTTTGACAGGTCTCCTCTGTATATATTTTTTTAACGAAAGCACATGCAGTCCTGTGGAACATCTAGAATTGTAAAGTAAACGCGTCTCTACAAAATGAGACGTCTCGAAACTCTTTACGTTTCTTTGTTTAAAAAGAATAAAAGGAAAATACAAAATGCTACTTTCCTAAAATAAAGTTTAAAAGGGGCGTTTTGTATCTTAATTCTACTTTTTTAAACAAAGAAACGTACAGAGTTTCGAGATGTCTCATTTTGCAGAGAAACGTTTGCTTTACAATTCTAGATCTTCCAGAGTCCTGCATATGCTATTGTTAAAAAAATATATACAGCGCAATATGTCAGAATTTCGTCATGGAATTTCACAAGGTTAGCAGAGTTATCTGGCCATGCCGTGCACTTCGGTATTTTAATTTCTAATGCTAGTAATATTTTGAATACAACGTACAATTCCCGAAAAAGAAAAACAATATCTCCTATTTTTCATTTGTTTCATCCTCTATTTTAACAATGAAGAGACGGTCAAACCGATAGTGTACGACAGAAACTATTCTCTTGTACAACATCTCCCAAAATCCATGGTTTATTATTTACTTTAATTCGTTCAAAAATAGCAAACACAATCACATACCAGTGGTGAGAGTGGGTCAATTCTTCTTTTAACCAGGTGGAATAAAACCTATAGCAATTCTTTTTGTTCCACGGCAAATGCAGTATAAAGTAGCTGAACGGCATCGAGAATAGTCTGATGCATCCTGTAGATGACGCTAGCTAAAAACTGTTATAGTGAAACAGATTAAAAATTTTATTATAAAAATAACAGCTAAATATGTGATATTTCTTTTACTAAAAATACTTTTCAGATAGTCTCTGAACTAAAAAAGAAGTGAGGTACTCACGATCGTATAATGACGGCTGATATATAGGCGTTATTATTTATTATTATTCCAATTCATCATTAGATTGAAGGATCGTTTGCTGATGTTATCACTTTGATTGTTCTGGTTCAAGGTGTCTTTTATTCAAAAAGTTTTCTCCAGTCAGATATAGGGGTTTTTGTAGAATGTCAATACTAAGATTAGGACTGTAAAAGTTGCCGTTGCGGTTATTTAACGCTAACGAAAATACAGTTACTGTTACTTCAACGATAACTGCGTTTCCAGTTACCAGTTGAAATAACGATAACTACCAGTTAGTTGACTTTGTGGTAACTATTTTTTAAATTTGGCAGAAATATTCACGCAATGGCTTAAAATGGCTTCCAAAATCGTTAGTTTTCCATTAAAACTGTTGAAACATTGATAAATGACATGGTTTTGATTGACACACACGTGCAAGTCAACTAAAGTAATCGAAATTATATAACTTCAATGTTTTGTAACTGCGGTTTTTAAGATCTCTGGAGACCTCAGCATCTACGGCCAGCTTGAAAATTCTTTTTTACTACAAAACTATGCCATTTACGAAAGTTTTAGCAGAAAACTAGCGATTTTGGAAGCCATTTTAAGCTGCTGCATGAGTATTTCTACCATACTTAAAAAATAGCTACCACAAAGTTAACTAATTGATAGTTATCGTTATTTCAACGGTAACTAGAAAAGGCAGTTATCGTTAGAGTAACTGTGTAAAGTAAGGGTCTTTTCAGTTACCATTGGTTTAACGCTAACTGAACTGAAAAGACAGTTATTGTTACTTTAACGGCGATTGTTTTTCTAGTTACCGTTGTCGATAACGGCCAAAGAAGTAACGTGGACTTTTACAGTCCTAACTAAGATCATATTATATAGATCAGAATGCTATTCAGTGCTTTTGACCATATCCAATGTTTTTGAAAAAAAGATGTTGAAAAAGCTTTTCAAATGTAGATTTTCAGAAGTTATCTTAGGTCATTAGCAGCTTTTGCATATGAATTTTTTCAATAATTCCGATTTACAGGACAAGCTTTTCTGACCAAATTGAGACATGGACAAAGTGTGACTTCAATCGATGTTTGTAGTTATTATTTACTTTCTGTTTTTTTCATTCTTGGTTTCTTTTCTCTTATTACAGTCTTTTACGTATATCTAGATTCTAGCGGGATTTAAAGTTATAACCTTTGATGGCTTTTCACTCATCGATGATTAAAATAAATTATTATTCTGTTTTTGTATTAAGTGTGTGCAGTAGACTATTTAAAAGTTATAAGAGTTTTACTGAACATCTGAATACTCCTATTATAACGCTCTGTTCACTCATTCTCTTGCATTCGTACTAGATAAGATCATTTAAATCTCAGTATACGATATGAAGTTACTTTTTCTCTATGTGCTTTGATTATCGCGTAAATAGTCAAGGAATTTGAGATTCAAAGCCGTGTTGTATTTTTTTTTATCTGCGTTTTAATAATAGTCACATAAAACTCAACATGGCATATACATAGTGCGGCAAATATCATGTTATGATGCAAGTAAAGAGACATCATTTATTGGTTGTTTGATAGTGCCGAGGAAACTAAGTTACTTAGCCGAAGAAATCTGTATTGTGACATTTTTACATAAGCTCTATAAGAAATTCAAATGTTAGCTACATTTCTACTTAAAAATTTTTATATGTTTTATCTTTCTTCAACTATCAGGTATTCCTTCAATTATTTCCGAATAGAGTTGACCTTTATTGTTTGTAAATAACGATAAGTCTGAAATCTCAATCTCTTTTCTTCAAGTATTCATTATTTTGAATAAATATGGTTAACAAATTTGTCAACATGTATCTCTTATTTTTATTCTTGTTGTTCTAGATTAAATGGCTGGATATGCTCGTTTTCCAAGACCATTGATGACGGATCGTGTTGGGCCAAGGTAAAGGAAAATACAACGTCAATCTTCTATTGATATCTAAATTGTTTTTTTTCTTGTTTAGATTTAATACAGCTCAGCAAGTATATCCTCAACGTAATGGTCAACGAAATTTTCCTGAAGATCGTCGAATGGATAATCGGTAAGATTCCTTAAAATTTCTAAACAATATCGCTTTATTATACGAGCCTTAAATCAATCTTAAATCGTAAACTGATTTTATCTCTTACTTTTCGTTTTGCTGTCTTCACACCCCCTTTCTCTGTTGTATTTTGTTTATTATCTAGAGAGTCTGCTGAGTATAAGTTTGTCGAACCAGTTTTTCAGCAAATAAATGAATTACTCAGAAGCTCGAGAAAATCACTTTTTTTTCACAGGTAGTTTCTCAACTTAAATTTTTTAAAAAATGTTAATTCAACCGGTATATCAACAAAGTGTGTACACTGTTGTCTTGAACGTTGTTTACTTTGTAGTCAGAAAAATAGTTTAGTTTGTTGAAAGAAGTCGTCAATGATGAGAAAAAATAGTCACTGATGTTTTGACAAAATACCGTGATGACTAATTTTCATCCACTTCCCTGAGACGATTAGTAGTAGACACGTTGCATTGGTAAAATTGAATGTCTTTCTGCGTGGAGAAGCTGCTGAGTATAAGTTTTTTCTTGTCATTCTAAACACTTTTTTCTGAGTAACTGCATGTTTTACGCTAATCGAAGACTGTGAATCTTCAATTAGCTGAAGAAATATTAGGCTTACGGGAGAAGGTCCCTAACTGATAAATCGCTTTTGAGTCGAAATCTAGTAGATTATTCTGAATATGAGCATGGGGTTCCCCATAGCCCTTCGAAGATCCAGTTTTGTGGAAAACCAGTTATTTTTCAGAAACTAAAAAATAACCAAAGCGTTTCGTAATGAGCCATGCTTGTAGCCCGCAAATTTCTGATTAAAATGAGATATCTCCCAACTCTACACGATCTTTCTTTGCAGAGTTATAGAATTTACAAGAAAAACCTTAAATGTTCATGGTCAACTCAAAGCTACAAAAATAAGAAGGAAAAAATTAATTTAGGGCTTTTCTTGTAAATTCTATAACTTTGCAAAAAAAGGTCATGTAAAGTTGGGAGAGGTCTCATTCTAATCAGAAATGTGCGGGCTACAATTATGACTTATTAAGAAAACTTTTTAGAGTTTCTGAAAAACTGGTTTTCCAGAAAACTGGATCTTCGAAGGACTATAAAGAATCCCCATGGTCATATTCGGAATCAACATGGTCGATAACCTATAATTCACTAGATTTAGACTCAAAAGTGATTTATCAGTTAGGGACCTTCCCTCGTTAGGCTAACGTTCTGCATTATATTTTATTATAGACCTCTAAAAATCACTTACTCAGGTGCGTCAGAGCCAGTTTTTTAGTAAATAAATAAATTACTCAGAAGCTGGAGAAAATCACTTACATAAAAGGCAGTTTCTTAACTTAAATTTCTTAAAAAGTTTCTTAGTAAGTTAAAATTTTTTGAATAACTTCATCCAAATGAGGGGATGGATTTTTACCTCCTAACCGATAACGCTGATATTGAAACAAAATTACTTTTCAAAGACGTAAAGTTCTTTTGCTTTCGTCAACAAATTGAAGTTCTATTTCTTTTCAATGTCTGTATTTTTTTTGGAATGTTAGGTAAACGTTGCCTAATTTCGTTATTATACTTCGAAGTGGAAGAATTTCTTCAACTAGAGGAGCTTTTCGAGTTGTATTTTACATTCTTATCCTGAAGAATGAGTGCATACATTTTACTTTTTTCAGGTTCCAGAAAAGCTAATTTGAACGTTTTCTCTATGTTTTAGACCTAATATGAATAAACAAAATAATATGCAACGAATAAATAGTCAGAATAGGCTTGTTAATGAAGCTAATAAGTACTTAAATTGAAAATGTCGTCATTTTAACATAATCAGCCTTTTTTTTCCCCTACTTTTAGACCTGTTTTAACCAATTCTTCTGTTGGTACACCTGTTAGTTCAACACCTACTTCTCAACCATCAACACCGACGCAACAAACATCAAATAGTAAAAATCAGTCAACACCACATGTTAATCCAACCGATGTATCAACAAAGTATGTACACTATTGTCTTAAACTGTTTTACTTTGTAGTAAGAAAAATAGTTTAGCTTGTTGAAAGAGTCGTCAAGTCGAGCAGCGTGGCTCAGTCGGCTAGTATGCAGATAACATACGTCAAAGATACGGAGTTCGAATCCCGGCAACGGCGGTCGTGTGATAGACTTAGACAAGCCATCTCATACTCATTGTCTCGGCACCTTTGGACACAGACGTAACCCGATTTCAGTAGCCATTGGACTAGAGAGATGAGAATTAAAAGTATAAAAAAAAAAGTCGTCAATGATGAGAAAAAATAGTCACTGATGTTTTAATAAAATACCGTGATGACTAATTTTCATCCACTTCCCTGAGACGATTAGTAATAGATACGTTGCATTAGTAAAGTTGAATGTCTTGGAAATACAGCCGTTTCTTTTTACATGTAAATAGGTTTACCTTTTAAAATCTTGTTGTTGTTTATTTCTCTAGAATAACAACACCTCCAAAAGCAAATACAACTCTCACAGCCACTGCAAAACCCGATGTTGTACCTCCAGCATCGTCGACTTCGATAACGTTAGATTCTCAAACTCCGACAAATTCAACTAATGATGAATTAAAATCTAATACAGCAACAACAAACTCCGAACCACAAACTCCCGTGGGAACCAACCAAAATGCGACTTCTCAAATACAACAACCGCCAGTGATGCATCATATTCATCAACAACATACACCACTGCCACAGCAACAACAACGAGGCCCAAAACGTCCAAGACCACCAAATGAATATCAACAAACTTCAACTTATAATCAAGGTGGTAGTGCAGTGATAGGATCTTCTTCATTTGAACAAGATGATAATAAAACTACATCTAATTCTTCTGCACAACAAGTTGGTGATAAAAAAGCGGTAACAGGTGGTCGCTGTCGACTATTTATTGGCAATGTACCGTCAGATTTAACACAAAATGAATTTCAAGTTTTATTTGGAAAATATGGGGAATTAGTTGAATATTTTGTTAATCCATCAAGAGGTTTTGGTTTCATTAAATTGGTCAGTTTCCTTAAGCATTATAATTAATAAAATTCGATTATTCATTTTTTTTATTTATTTTTAGAGTTCACGTTCAATAGCTGAACAAGCTAAACTTGATTTAGATGGTTATATATTACGTGGTAAACCATTGCGTATTCGTTTTGCCAGTCAAGGTGCCACTGTTAAAGTTAAAAATTTTTCAATGTCCGTTTCAAATGAATTATTAAAAGAAGCATTTGAAATATTTGGTCCTGTTGAACGTGCTGTGGTCATTGTTGATGATCGTGGAAAATCAACAGGCGAAGGAATTATTGAATTTGAAAAAAAACCATCAGCACAAAAATGTTTAAATGATTGTACTGAACATTGTTTTTTTTTAACAAGGTTAGTTCAAATGACATGAACGTTGTATCTAATACGAAATATCTTTCTTTTTCTCTCTTAACAAATGTTAATCATATGTCTAATTGACATTCAGTACGTGAATGACTTGAGTTCAATGTATTCAGTCATTTTTTAATCTGATTAAAAACAAACATTATCATTAGATTTTTATCTATTCAGAAATGTAAAAACAAAGTTAAGAGTTTCATAGTGGAATTCTGCAGAAGAATCGATCAGAGTCAAAATTGCGTATATATATGTCTGTTTATTTAAATGCGAAAACAATGGGCTGACTCAGATCGATTCCTTTACAGAATTTCACGATGGCCTGGCCATGTAATGGTCTACCTTTTTTCGTCCGTTACGGCGCCTTATAAATCGAGACTTCGTTCAATTACTCTGGAGCTTTTTTCTAGTGTGACTTACAATATTACCTCCTAACAGTGAAAAGTACAGAGCGATCGGGCCAGATCTCGATCTGAGGCACTGTAACAGACGGAAACCTTCGATTGGTTAGGCCGATATATACAGAACTAGACTTTTTTCTACATTTTTCTGAATCGTAATGTTTGCTTTTTAATCAGATCAAAAAAATGACTGGATAATACATTGAACTCGAGTCATTCACATCATACAGATAGGACTGTCTGTTTACTTATTACTCGGTGTTACTTTACCAAGTTAAGTAACAAAAATTTGTTACCTGTTACTGGTAATTAGTAACAACAGATGCTAGTTTGTTACTTTGTTTTGTTATTTTGGAGTAAAGTAACAAAAAAAAGCAAGTTTTTTTTTTGTTTACTCATCAAAACTTTTTTAAAAAACGTTTTGTGAGGGTGGGGGTGAAATAATTGAATTTCATTAGATGGTCTTATAAGTTGTAACTCTTCCCTTAGCAGTGATGTACAGCTAACAAATATTTCAGATACTTTTTCATCAGACATCCCACCACCTTTTAGCAAGTATTTCACCCTCACCCTCACAAAACCTTACTTAAGGAGTCGACTGGCAGAAGTATCTGGCAAAAGATTGTAACAAATCTTTGTCACTTTGTTACTAGCAACAAGTATCAACTGCTTTACTTGTTACTAGTAACAAAGTAACAAACTAGCATCTGTTGTTACGAGTAAAGTAATGGTAAACAGACAACCCTACATACACAGATAACATCATTAATTTAAAAATTTAAATAAATTCAAAGTTGATACACATAGATAATTCAGTATGAGCTAAATAAAGACACGTTTTTTATCATCAATTTCAATTTTAGTTAAGAAGATAAAGAAGAGATGGTCATTCTAGTACGAATTTGTACCATTTCTTAAAATCATTTTACTAAGTTCGTGTAAAATCTTACTTTTAAAGAGTTCGATAAGATAATCTAAGATCTTGATACAAATCTGAACTAGATCTGATGCTCTTACTTTTTTATTTTACGCAGAGCCCCTGGAATGCTTTCCGGAGCTTGAGATGCGAAGCACCCGATACTAAGAAAGAAAAAAGTCACTTTTTCCCTCTTGCTTTATACGCATCGACTTTTCTACCTAAAAGGCAATTATTTCCATTTTAGTCTTCCCTGCTTTGTGATACACAAAAGGGAAGACTTGGAAAGTTTGATCGACTGCCAGTATTTTCTGTATTTCCAAATCACAAATAGTCGGGAAAGAAAATTTTTATCAAAAATCAACATTTTCGAACAACCAAGTTTCGCTACACTTCGCAAAATTTAGTATATCTCGATCGAAATCAACCATTTTGGGATCCGGTTCGTTTTACTTTGAAGTAAAAAAACAAAACAAAACATCTCTTTCATATGCAAAGAGAAAAAGTTCAATAACCACCTTTTTCTCTGCTATGTGCTTAGTCGAAACAAGACGATGTGAAGTTTAATGACATCCTGCCTTTTTTCATATGTTAACATTTGTCAAGAGAGAAATATTTCTTATTTGTCATCACCCTATTGTTAGATAAAAGTAATCTTTTGATAATGAATCTTTTTAACTTTTTTAGCGAATTGAAACCAGTTATTGTTGAACCATGGGATACAAAAGATGAAGAAGATGGATTACCCGAAAAATCATTGATTAAAAATGCATTGTACATGAAGTATGTAGGATGTATCGAATAGAATGTGACAGAATGAAGAATCAGTATCTGGAGCATATCGAAGAATCTTGAATTGAATGAAGGATATTGACTGCTCTCGATTGTATGTCAGTATTCTCTTCATCAGAAGTAGTTTTTGCAAGACTTTCAAAGACTACTTCTTATCTGAGATCACTATTTTTTTGCATTCACTCCCACTTTGTTTACCATCCTCTGATGTCAATTAAGACTTCCAAAATAAGACCACATATTTATCAAAAAAAGGGGTCTCACTTTTTCAAACTGACAATGTAATATTTCACTTTGTTTACGATAATTCTAATTTTAATAACATTTTTTTGTTTTGTTTTAATTAGAGAGCGTGAATTAAAACCACGTTTTGCCGATATAAATTCAATAGAGAGTACAATCGGTTTAAAATGGAAAGAATTAGAATTACAAGAAAAACAATTGTATGAAGAAGTTAAAAAACGAATGCAATATGCTACCGAACAGGTACAAATTGAAATTGATCAAATGTTATTAGAACATCAATCACAATTATTAAGAGAAGGT